TGCTGTGAGCTAGGATGACGCCACGGCACTCTAGCCCGGGCAACACAAGGAGACTTTGTCTCAAAAAAAAAAAAAAAATTTAATAATATGTTTAATCAGTGTGTAGTAATTGAACATCAGTATTTAAGTAGGATTGTAACTCCTAGATCATAAATTGCTGGGATCAGTTGTTAGCAGAGGGTACAAAGGAGGAACGAATGGTACAAAAGTTTCTCTAGCCTCATTCTCAAGATCTTTTAAGCTGTCATCTAGTTGGACTCAGAGGTTTGGGCCTTCCCTATTTTCTGTTAGGGAGGGCTAGTGGCCCAGTATTCCAAAGAGAGTTTAAATCCTGAGGTGTTTTTTTGGAGCCTATGAAGACACTACAGTTCTAGGTATTTGTTTTAAGGCAGGGTTGTACCCTCCCCTTTGCAGTGATATTTGATTTCCCATTATTTAGAAATGAGAGTCAGACCAGTGAAACTGATGCTTTACATGGGAATATCATGGGGAAGAAGAATTTAGAGCAGCAGCAGAGTTTCTCCCATTGACACAGAATTTAGTAGTGAACTAACATTTCTCAGAGTTACCCACCAGCTTATATATTATGCAGGATATCCATAAAGTCTGGAACCATATGCAAATATATATAAAGTCATCAAGGACATTTTATGTTTCAGCAAGTAGGTTAGATTATTAATGAAGGGGTCTACAAGATAGAAAAATTTCCTATTCTTCTAAAACCTATCCACTGCCCTCAACCTATAGCTGACCCACCAGGCCACTTTGTGATGTAAAGGAAACCTCCCTGACCCCTGACTCCCCCACCACCACTAATCCCCCCAAAAGCCCTCTGTCCTACCTGGAACTTTACCAGGTAGAGAGTCATTAGGATGTGATCAGTCAGTCATTCATATTCTCATACTGGTTATTTTAAGCACATTTTATAATTTTGAAGCTAGCAGGGGTCAGAGAAGTGAAGTAAATAGACCAAGGTCACAGCATCTTAAAAGCATAGCTACAGCTAAATCCTAGGTCTACTTACAGCCTCGTGCTCTTTCCAGATAGCTTCTCTCTAAACTGCCTAAGGTGTGTGCACAGAAGTAGGGATGGCTTAAAGCTGCACTGTCCACCATGGTAGCCACTAGCTACATGTGGCTGTTGAACACTTGAAATGTAGCTAGTCCAAACTGGAAGGTGCTGTAAGTGTAAAACACATACTGGATGTCAAAGGCCTAGTACAAAAAAATTGTGAAAATATTTTTATAATTTTTTAGTTTGATTAAATAAAATGTCTGAGATATATTGGATTAAACAAAATGAAATTTTGCCTGTACTCAGTTTTAGGTTTTGAGTTTTTCTTTTTTCACTTTTAAATTTGGTTGCTATAAAATTTAAAATTATACATGTGGCCTGTGTTATATTTCTGTTGGCTAGTGCTGGCTTAGAACATGTGACAGGAAAGAGGAAGAGGAGGGGAAACTGAATAAGGTACCACAGTAGGGGCTTTGAAGAGTCAGAAGACAACAAAAGGGTATCTGACTCCTGTAACCTAAGGGAGGAGTCAGGAGCTTACAGAACAGAAGTATAGAATGGTAAGCTGCCAACACAGGTCTTGTGCACAAGGTTTACCTCTTCTCCTCTTGACCCCACCCTCCTGCTTTTTATTTTCCAGAAGCTATGTGCAACTATTATTTAATTATTCTCAGGTCCTTACTACAACCTGGAAAATTATGGTATCTTAAAAGTCGGGAGAGACTGCTAATGACTGGGGTTCAGAACTCCACTTACGGCCTGGCTCAGTGGCTCACACCTATAATCCCAGCACATTGGGAGTCTGAGGCAGGAGGATTGCATGAACCCATGATTTCAAGACCAGCCTGGGCAACATAATGAGACCCCTTTTCTACAAAAAAATAAAATTAGCTGAGCACAGTAGTGCAGATGTGTACTCCCAGCTACCCAGGAGGCTGAGGCAGGAGGATCACTTGAGCCCAGGAGTTTGGAGCTACAGTGAGCTATTATTGCGCCACTGCGCTCCAACCCTGGCTGAGACCCTGTCTCAAAAAAACAAGAAAGAAAGTAGATTTTAGCTCAACACAAAAATAATAGTGAAGTTCTCTCTTTTTTTAGACCGGGTGCAGTGCAGTGGTGCAATCGTAGCTCACTGCAGCCTCCAACTCCTGGGCTCAAGCAATCCTCCTGCATCAGCCTCCCCAGTAGCTGGGACGACAGGCATATGCCACCACACCCAACTAAGTTTTTTATTTTTTTATACAGAGGAGATCTCACTATGTTGCCCAGGCTGGTCTCAAACTCTGGGGCTCAAGTAATCCTCCTGCCTTGGCCTCCCAAAGTGCTGTGATTACAGGTGTGTGCCACCATGCCCGGCCTTTTTTAAATTCAAGATTTCTACATAACAACCCTTCAAAAAGTTTTCTTTATCCAGGCTAAACATCTACAAATTTTTTTTTTTTTTCCCGAGACAGTCGCACTCTCACCCAAGCTAGAGTATGGTGGTGTTGGCCTAGCTCAAAGCAACCTCAAACTCCTGGGCTTAAGCAATCCTCCTGCCTCAGCCTCCCGAGTAGCTGGGACTACAGGTGTGCATCACCATGCCCAGCTAATTTTTTCTATTTTTAGTAGAGACGGGGTCTCACTCTTGCTCAGGCTGGTCTCAAACTCCTGACCTCAAGTAATCCTCCTGCCTTGGCTTCCCAGAGTGCTAGGATTACAAGCATGAGCCACCGCACCCGGCCATCTCCAGTTCTTAACCTCATAATCATAGATAGTGTCTGATATCTTGTAATTTATTATTAAATAATATCCATCTTAAAATGTGGATCTCCAAACTGAACGCAATACTGAAGGCTAGGGTAACTAGTTCAGAATATAGTGGGACCATTAACTTCATAAGAACTATACATCTCTCAGAGCAAGGATTCTATTAGCTTTTTACTACTTACGTCACACTGTTGGCTCATAGTAAGTTTGTGGCCAAATTGACTTTTCATATGAACTGCTTTCAGGGGGCCTGGGAAGTGAGGATGAAGCTTATAGCTCCCTATGCAAAGTAAACAGAAGGTATGTACATAGGTGCCTTTTACCGTATTTTACAGGGCACAATTTAAGTGGAATTAAGTATAGTCTACCTTTAATTTTCAGATTTAAGCATTTATATATTAACAAAGAAAAGGAACATAAAGCTAAAGTGTTAGAAGCCACTGACAATTGAAAATAAACCAACTCTATTTATAACATAAACTTAATAAAGTTTGATTCAACAAAAATACCAATTCACAAATTTTTAGAAACGTATCTTTTGAACAAACCAAGATTAAATTGTGCTCTAGCATCAAGTGTTATTTTGTTAGTGATAACTATGACGCTTTTTTTTTTAATTTAAAGAGGTTTATTCTGGAGCAAAATGTGTGTGACTGGCCCAGAGCACATGGCCTCAAGAGGTCCTGAGAAAATGTGCCGCAATGACACATTTTTTTTTAATTCTCAGAGATGCTAATACATGGTATTAGCATTTCCAACTATAATTTAGTTGTAATGCATTTAGTTTTTAATTGCTTTTACTTTTACTCTCAAAATTTACTCTTTAATGTCCTCTGAATACTATTTTCTATAATTGTAGGATACTTGTGCTCTTTTTTAAAAAAAGTAATTTGTTATTTTATTATCTATATTGAAGAGTAGGGAAACAATGTAACTTAGTAGTTAAGAGCACAGGCTTTAGTGTCAGGTAGACTTGGGTTTTGAATCCTGGCTTCTACAATAACTAGCTGTGCAGCCTTGTGAAACTTAACCTCTCTGTGCCTCAGTTTCCTCATCTATTAAACAATACCTACCTCAGAAGATTGTTAGGACTGAATGAGCTGATATATATAAAGTACTTAGTATGATATGTAGTACACAGTACTGTAAATGTTTGATTTAAAAAAAACCTATTGTTGCTAATGAAAGTATACTTCTAAAATAGAATCCTAACACAATGGTTTGCTATTTAAATTAAAATTAGTGTTGATTTCATGTTTTATATATTATATATTTGTTATATATGTTTTACATATATGTTATATATATATTTAAAACAGAATGGTAAAACCACCTCAAGGATTTATTTCCATGAGAAATTAATGAAATTTTGAAGAAAAAGATATATTTTTGCAGAAGAATATTAATAGCATAATACCTTGTCTACTTTTGTACTAAAAATGGCTTTCAATTCATAGTTGGATGAGCATGTTGATTTTTATATGGTAATTCAGTGTAAACCAACAGATGTTTTTAACATCCTCCTCTTCTTCTTTTTAACTAATGAAGATTTGGATTCCTAGACTTGCCCAAGCACTTCTATCTGCTGTAGCAGACATTCGGCTTTACTCATTAATGAAGCAACTAGAAAATCAGGAAGTGGCAAGATGGGTGGTAAGTCCAAAACACTTTAGAAACTGTATGCCAGTTATTTCATTCCTATGGGCATAAAGCATGTGGAAACATTGATTCCCAAAAAAGTTTTAGAAGATAATTCATACAACTTTATAGGGGTACTTCCATAGTTAATAACAGCAAAATGCAAGTGGCACATACCATATCTCTCCTTCTGAATAAGACCTAGGTGGTGGAAGCCACTGATGCTCTCAAATGCTATGAAAGGCTAAACCCTGGGAGACAGCCTTTGGAAGCCCCTTCACTCCTCAAAGCTGTCCTTGCCTCACTTTTCATAGAATTCCGTAGGAATAGTTCTAAATCACTGCCTACCTCACAAAGCATCTCAGCTATTTACCACCCTTGTCTATTCCCCTAGCTATCTGAGGTGTAGCCTGAGAAATCCATTGCATGGAAACACTCTTTTACTTCTGGCTGGAATGTTTGAAATAGTTGGACTCATGTAAGGGAGAGTGTGGTGTAGAAGTCTATCTTTTGTCATTTGGCTTATTTCAAGGTGGAGAGATAGATTCCTGACATCTCCCATTCTTAAATGGATATTCTCATTTAAACCATATCCTGATGAGGGATTAGATTCTCTAGGACTATTGTTACTTCACTCAGCTCTTTCCAAAATTAAATAAGCTTATATGAGCCAGTTTAGAAATCTTACTACCTGTTGAATATTGTTTCCATTGGAAAATACATTCCAAACGTAAGTAACCAATTTACCAACACATTTCTGCAAAATAATTTATTAATAAATTGGAGAAAGGACAAATATTGTATTCTTCTGCATTAAAAAGAAAGAAAGATTGAGTTAAGTCCTTAAAGATTGATTAAGTCCTTGCTAATTGATTCAGGGATAAAGTTAGCCTCTTTGTGATTTTATTTTATTATTTTTGAGACAGGGTCTTCCTCTGTCGCCTGGGCTAGAGTGCAGTAGCGTCGTCATAGCTCACTGCAACTTCAAACTCCTGGGCTCAAGCAACCCTCCTGCTTAAGCCTCTCGAGTAGCTGGGACTACAGGTGTGCGATGACACCCAGATAATTTTTCTACTTTGAGTAGAGACGGGGTCTCGCTCTCACTGGTCTCAAACTCCTGAGCTCAAGCAGTCCTCCTGCCTCGGCCTCCCAGAGTGCTAGGATTACAGGCGTGAGCCACCATGTCTGTCATGTGCTTTTATTTTATGTACCTTGCTGAAGGTTTAACATGAAATGGTAGGCAAAGGTCACAAAGACTTTGAAATCCTTCTTCCGGCCAGGTGTGGTGACTCACGCCTCTAATCCCAGCACTTTGGAAGGCCATGGTGGGAGGACTGCTTGAGCCCCTGAGTTCAAGACCAGCTGGGCAACATAGTGAGACCCTGTCTCTACAAAAAATAAAAAAAATTAGCTGAGTGTGGTGGGAGGAGCCTGTAGTCCCAGTTACTCGGGAGTATGAGGCAGGATTGCTTGAGCAAAGGAGTATGAGGCTACAGTGAGCTATGATCTCCCCACTGCACTCCAGCCTAGATGATAGAGCAAGGCTCTGTCTCTAACAGAAAAAAAAACTTAAAAAAGAAATCCTTCCTCCAAAGATGGAACACTAGGTTCTTCTACTTTAGGAAAAATCTTTAACTTCATGAAAATTGGAAATATTTTCTCAAGGCTATATTTGAAGAGATAGGAAGCTATTAATAGTACCACCTGTTTAATACCCTTGGCCCAACCAATAAGTTCCTTTTAAGACATTTGTTTTATAGACTTAATGATGCTCTGTTTGCATGTTCTTCCAAAAACTGTTTTATTAATTTAGTCCATATCCAAATTAAAATTTAACAATGTCTCCTGGCCTTTTTTTCCCCCTCTCTCCTGTTTTTTCTTAATTTTTTCATCAAGGAGTAGGGTAACATCCCAAACCAAAGTCAATAAAAACAGTCACAATATTCATGTCGGTACTATCAGACAGTTTGAGGAATACTAATTAGGAGAATCTATTTATGAATTTCAATCCTCTGTAAATTCTACCATCAAAGAATTTGTGTTTTATGTCTTTCATTAATGGAGAATGGGATTTAAATCAAATGCAATGCCGTAAAAATGCACCTGAAAGTATAAACTTCTTAACATTAAATAAATACAGATCTGATATTATCATAGACCCATGTTTGATGTAACTTCTTAAAAAACATTGTTTGGGCATGTTTACTTACTTTTAACATCATTTAACTTCTGATGTGGTTTTTTCAATATTTAGACTTGCTTGCTGTTTTCCATAGAAGACAGTACATACTAAGCTTTTCCATTTTCTATTTCACACGTTTAACTCATAATTGTTCTTAGTTTTTTTGCCAGTTGTGCTCTTGGTTTACATGGTATTGCTGTACCAGAACCCTTACAAACACCATGGAAACTGTTCTCACTACAATTGCTCTTTTCTACTATCCTTTGGAAGGTTCAAAGTCTATGAACAGGTGAGAAATATTATTGTTAATAATTATGTACAAAACTCTAAGACATGCTTTTGAAAAATCTTAAATATCAGTATATTGTAATGTCCAGTAGACCTACTACTGTTCATGAGAGTCAGGAGAATCACAAATTTTCAGTTGATATATTATAGCAAAATAAGATAATACTCAAACTGGATAATTAAGGATAGTTTAATAAAAGAAATGTTCATAAAGGTATATAAAATATTTAGGAAAGTCAATAAGGAAATACCCCGTAGTATCCCACGGCTAATCATAGTAGGAAGTCTCTATTATCTTTAAGCCCCAAGGAGCAAGGAGACGAAATGGTTACTAGAGCCTATACAGAGCTATAACGAAAAGGGAGGGCTCCAACAGAAGGCAGGCACATCCAGTTTTTAGCAATAGCAAAGAGACAGCCACAGGTATAAGTAATCCTAATTTGACTCACCTTCTGCCTTCCAATTAGACAAAACCAATCAAAAGCCAGAAAGCAAAGTAGTCCATCGATGTAGTCCATGTAGGGCAGCCTCCCTGCATATAGAACAGGTAAAGGATGGTGGAAGGGCAAATTGAAAATATTTGGACCTGATTTGGCTTCATATAAACCGGGGAAACAAATATCAAGCAAAGGGAACATGAGCAAAGGCACAGAGCCATGAAAGGGCTCCAGTATATTTAGGGTAGATTGTCCACAGTGGCTAGAGTGTGGTAGGATGCACAGAAGAAGAGAAGAATAAGGAATGAGGCTGGAATGGAACTTTGCTCTTCTCCAGAATTTGGATTTTATTCTGTAGTTTGCAGGGAACCATTGGAGGCTTTGGAGAAGCATGACATAATCAAATCTGATTTTGACAGAATTCTGTTGTAGTAGCAGTATTTAAGATTATACTAAAAAGAAAAAAGCCAGAATTGAGGAGTCTAGTTAAAATGCTAGTATCCATTCTTCCTACATAAAAGGTTGTCGGGAGGATCAAATCAAATAAGATCATTTCTGCCTTAGACTCTTAACTGCAAGAAAAAGCATTCTCTCAAGTTACCTATATGATGAGGACATTATTATGAGGCTAAAAAATGGGCATCTCAGCCTTGTGGCCAGGCCTGGGAGAAATCTCAACCATGCAAATGAATTGCAGCGTTATACAGAATCCAAGGCAGTTTGGGGAATGGGCTGTTCTGCTGTGCTTTTATAGCCCAAACGGTCTATGAATCTGTTTTACTTTCCCATCCTTTGGGGCTTAGCTGGTCTGTCTACATCCTTTTTTGCTACCAATTGTCCAACTTTCTCTATCTCACATTCAATTTGAGAGAATCTGATTAGGTCTGTTAAATGTCATTGTCCCTTTTTGGACATAAATTTCACACTGGCCAGCCTTAGACCGGATGCCTGGGCCAGGTGCCTCCCTTGATTGAGTCAGGAAGCAAGGGTTATGTGATAGATACAAAAGGACCACTATGTAAGCACTCTTCCCTGTATAAGCACCACAAGTACTATTCCAGACTTAGATATAGAATATCTAAGCATTGATTTCTGTAAAATGAGAATAATAAAACAGCTCTCAAAAGAATTAAATGAGAATCTATGTAAAAGGTATAATATAGGGCCTCTTACAAAGTAAGTGCTCAGTAAGTGTTGATGATAACAATGATTTTTTAAATAAAGGAATATTTCTGGGCATTGCAAAAAAAAAATGAAGATAAGTGATAGGACTTGATTTAAAATGATGACAGTGGAAGTGGGAAGGAAATAAAAGTAGATGCATGGGATAAGAAGTTGCTGTTTAAGATGACAACAAATTTTTAAGACTAAGAAACTAAATGATGCTATTTCCTTATATAGTGTACAATGAACAGGTTTCAAGTTGTGGGGTTTATGTCACATGCTGTGATTTTGAGTGCCAGTATGTGATCTATATAAAAAATACTCAGAAAGGAGTAAGAAATATAAATCTGAAAATCTGGAATAAGGTCAAAACTAGAAATAAACATTTGGGAGTCCTCTATGTAATTTTACCATAGGAGAAGTTGCATTTAGGCTATCTGAAAGTCAAACCAAGCCACAAGTATGTTTTATTTCACTTGTACAGTGTTTTTTTAAAAAGTAAACCACTTGGCTAAGTTTTTTAAATAGGGAGATCTTATACAAAAACCTAGATTTCTGGTTTCTCTTGAAAAACTAGAACTTCTAGTAGTAGAATTTGGGGCTAGGAGTCCTTCATGACAATATCATAATCCCCACCTAGCCTGCCTTTCTCATTTTTATTATTTATCTGGTTTCTGTAGGCATTTGAATTTGTTATCCCTGCTCTTACATCCTCACTAACATTAGGTATTTTTTAATAGTTATTTATTTTTATTAATATTAGTTAATAGTTACATAATGGTACCATATGTTTTACTTTGCTTGCTTTTAATTTTTAGCAGGGCTAAATATTTTTCCACATGATAAGTTACTACCGATAGTCCTTGTGATTAAATTATCAAATCATCTCTTTTGGCCATTTATTGAGAAAAGTCCTATTAGTAAAAATCGACATTTTTATCCATGATGATATAGTTCTCTATAGAATTTTTATCAGTTGTGTGTATATATGTATATGTATACACACACACACACAACTTTTTATCAGTTGTGTATATAAATTAGCTTACTTTCAACACAAAATCATACGTACTCAGAAGACCATCATTGCCTGTTTCTTTAAATGTGATGTTTTTCCTTAGAGAAAGGGTTTGTGTGACATACCTCCTTAGGAGAAACTTTTCATTTTCATTTTTCTATCAAGAAAGTAATTGGCAGAGTTGTGTGGTGAAAAGTTAGTATACTTTTCAGCACACAAGACATTAAGACATATAACTTGAATTCTTGAAACTATTAGAATTAGGATATTAATGCTGGAAAAGACTAGATAGTACCTCTTTTTACAGATAAGAAAAACTAAGATCCAGAAAGTATAAGTAACTGCCAACATTCATACAGCTATTTATACCAAAAGGAAATGCATATTACAGTGTAAATAGTAGATAACTTCAAAATTAATTTCCCACTTGTCTTGATAGCACATTTTCCTTGCTTATAGTGTCAAGTACTCATCCCTGGTGGCACTTGCCTTCATAATTCGTCCCACAGCTATCATTCCATGGATACCTTTGCTCTTCAGACATTTCTGTCAAGAACAGAGAAAGCTTGACCTTATTCTACATCATTTTTTACCTGTAGGGTAAGTATGGCTACAATCCATGTATTAATTTTAGTAACCTATAAATGATAGACTATGAACAAGATTTTACATCTTTCAGTTAATTATTATCTCTTCTTTTTTTGTGTGTGTGACAGTGTCTTACTCTGTCACCCAGGCTGAAGTGCAGTAGCACATCATAGCTCACTGCAGTTCCAAACTCCTGGGCTCAAGTGATCCTCCTGTTTCAGCTTCCTGAGTAGCTAGAACTACAGGCACATACCACTGTGCCTGGCTAATTTTTTCATTTTTTGTAGAGATGAGGTCTCACTACGTTACCCAGGCTAGTCTCAAGCTCCTGGCCTCAATCCATCCTCCCGCCTCAGCCTCCCAAACTGCTGGAACTGCAGTTGTGAACCACCGTGCTGGCCTAATTTTTATATCTTCTAATGTCAGTGAGAACTCTCAGCACAAGGAAATAGAATATTTTCAAATTTCTATTTTACATTATTTATGATCCTGACTAACTATACATACTTTAATTTGCTTAACTGAGAGTATTTGCAATTATTTCTAACTCAGAATGTTCCTATGCTTTATTTTCTAGCTATTTCTCAAATACATTTTAGAGATACTTTATTCTTTTACATTTATACAGGGCTTTATAATTTATAATGTGTTTTCATATATTACCTCATAATTTTCACAATACATGGATCTAGGCAATACATGTGTTTTTATTGGTAGTAAAGGCAACAGGGTGCTTGGAGAAATTAAATGTGTATTAGCCAAAGTCATTAGGCTGATTGCTGTGACAGAACGGGTTTTTAGATCCTAACTACACCGTGAGCTTCCAGGACCACACTTATCCCAAGTATCTGGTAGAATACCCAAAATAATTATTTACTGAAGGGATAAGTGTATTCTGACTCTTAGAACAGTAATCTTTTTAATATATAATCATGCATTGCATAAGGACATTTTGGTTAATGATGGACTGCATATACAATATTGGTCCCATAAGATTATGTTTAAATATGTCTAGATACACAAATACTTATCATTATTTTACAATTGCCTCCAGTGTTCAGCAGTAATGTGCTATGCCTAGGAGCAATAGGCTATACCATCTAGGTTTGTGTAAGTACATTCTATGATGTTTGCACAATAAAGAAATCACCTAATGATGCAGTTCTCAGAACGTATCCCCATCATTAAGTAACACCTTGACTGCACTAGTATTCACTCTGCACAAGTATTTTTTTGGGTAGCAGTTTGAAAGGATAAATTATCTCATGGCTAAGTTGCTACTGTTGTCATTTGTCAGATATATTAACATTGTTTTGAATGTATTAATTCATTTAGCAAATATTTAATCCTACTATATGCCAGGCAGTGTTCTAGATCCTGAAGATACAGCAGTTTAACAAAACAAAGTCCTTGCCTTCATAAAGTTTACATTCAGGTTGGGGGAGACAGACAGCTAAAAACATAAGAGTAAATATATATATATGTCAAGTGATGATAAGCACTATAAGAAAAAATAATGTGGGATAAGGAAGATAGAATACCTAGGGTGAGGAAGCTGTTATTTTTTATAGGGTAATTGGGGAAGATTACCATAAGGCAACATTGAAACCAAAACCTAAAAGAGTTCAGAGAGTGAACCATGTAGATACCTGATGAAAGAATATTCCAGGCAGAGAGATCAGCAAGTACAAAGTGTGTTTGGCATGTTCAAGGAACAGCAAGGAGGCTGTTATGGTTAAAAGAGAGTGAGCTTGGGAAAATATGATGAGATCAGAGAGATAGCAGGGGCCCAGTTCATGCAGGCTTTTACACTGAAGGAGATGAAAAGCTTTTTCAGTCTCATCAGCAATATGATATGGTTTCTTCTTAATAAGCATTTAACCTACTTGGCATCGAGCATTTGATGATGCAGAAGTGAATAACATATATCATCTGCATCCAAAGTTAAAATCTGGGGGGAAAGCAATACAGATGCTCCTTGACATACAATGGGGTTATATGTTTATAAACCTATCATAAATTGAAAATATCTTAAGTTGAAAATGCATTTAGTACACCTAACCTACCAAACATCATAGCATAGCCTAGCCTACCATGAACATGCTCAGAACACCTATATTAGCCTATAGTTGGTCAAATCATCAAACACAGAGCCTATATCATAATAAAGTATTGAATATCTCATGTAATTCATTGAATACTGTATTGAAAATGAAAAACAGAATGGCCATCTGGGTGCCATTATAAAGCTGAAAAATCAAAAGTTGAACCATCGGAGCTATCTATAATTCTTACCAAACGATTTACGATGTTCTAATATGAGTATATAACAAAATGCTGTAGGAGAAGAGAAAATAATGAGTCTAATTCTGCTTGCAGAGGGAATATCAGTAGAAGCCTTATAAAGTGTGTGGTGTTTCAGATAAAATCAAAGGTGAATATGAGTTTGCCAAGCATGAGAATTAGCACGCTTAAAGCTGAAAAGGCCTGAAGGAATCTATTCATGGAGATCAAATGCTTGTCTTGTTTATTTTGAAGGAAAATATAGAAAAAAACAATAAGATAATGCATGTGAAAATACTCTGAAATTGTACAATGTAGAACAAATCACTCATAGTCCTAATGAGTCTTATACTCAAGTCTTGGATGCATAGAGTTGATCCCAGACTTGAACCGTGTAACCACCTTTTACTTAACTGAGCATGTTTTAAAAATAGCCAGTTGCATATCCAAACAGTAGTAGTGCCTCTAAACATAGAGAAAATCTTGAATTACTCTTAAGAAAAATTCTAATGTATATGGACCCATTTTTGTTTACCTTTTACATGATTTTAAGAATTTAGGATATCATTGTCATTTTGTACAATCAAAAATAGTTCAATTGCCTTTCAGCTGCCACATTATCTCACCAATTATTGGCAAGACAGGAATGAAATAGGGGACATCATTATAGGTCTTACTGGCATTAAAGAGATAAAAGGATATTGTAAACAACTGTTTACAATACATCCAATTTCACAAGTTGGATAAAATGGACAAATTTCTAGAAAAATAAAACTGACCAAAACAGACAAAAGAATAGAAAATCTGAATAGTACTATATATTAAAGACATTTAATTTGTAATTAAGACCTTCAAACAAAGAAACATCAGGCTCAGATGGCTTCACTGGTGAATTGTTCCATACATTTAAAAAAGAAGAAACATCAATGCACATGAACTATTACACAGAACAGAAAAAGAACATTTCCAAATTCCTCTAATGAAGACAGCATATCCTTGATACCCAAATCTAGCAAGGACGTTACAAGAAAGGTGAATTATAAACCAATTTCTCTCATAGCTATGAATGTAAAAATCCTAAGCAAATGTTAGCAAATTGAATCCAGTGATATATTAAAAAGGAGACTATATGACACCCAAGATTGGTTTTATTCCAGGAGTTCAAAGTAGGTTTTTCTTTTTTTTTTTTTTTTAAGTGATGGGGTCTTGCTCTGTGGCCCAGGCTGGAGTGCAGTGGCGTGTTCAATCATAGCTCACTGCAGCCTCTAACATCTGGGCTCAAGTGATCCTCCCAACTCAGCCTCCTGAGTCAATGGGATTACAGGCATGAGCCACCGCACTTAGCTAGGTTTAATATTTGAAAATTGATCAGTATAGTTCATGACATTAAAAGAATAAAGGAGAAAAATCACATGACTTTCTCAACAGATACAGAAAAAGCATATGATAAAATTAAAGGCTGGCCAGGCATGGTGGCTAATGCCTGGAATCCTAGCACTCTGGGAGGTCGAGGCAGGAGGATCACTTGAGGTCAGGAGCTCAAGACTAGCCTGAGCAAGAGCAAGACCCCGAATAACCAGGTGTGGTGGTACATGCCTGTAGTCCCGGCTACTCGGGAGGCTGAGGCAGGAGGATCGCTTGGGCCCAAGAGTTCAAGGCTGCAGTGAGCTATGATCACGCCACTGCACTCCAGCCTGGGCAACAGAGCAAGACCCCCATCTCTCAAAAAAAAAAAAAAATACTGTGTGGTACTGGAGAAGGAACACAGAGATCAACAGAATAGAGAGCTCAGAAATAGACCCACATGAGTATGCTTAGCTGATTTTTGACAAAGATTATGTTTTTATAATAATAT